TTTTTTTTTTTTTCAATAAATATTGGTTGCTTAAATTTTTGATTGACAGCAAAGTAAGCCAATAGTTTTCATTTTACTTTTTTCTTTTTCTTCTAAGTTTAGATACCTTATTTTCTGCTGTGAAGTACATACACAAATAAAATGTATAAAACTATATAGATCTTTCAGCATTTATCTAAACTAAACAGTGCTGGCTGACAACTTTACTGAACAACTTTTTTTGACTGGTAATTTGTTGACGTCTATGAAGAGAAATGGAATGAAAATCTGAAGGCATCAAATAGGAAGGAAAGTTTTTTTTTCTTTTTTTTCACTTGTTGTTCTGAATTAGATAATAAGTTCTTAGTTGTTTAGTTGATGTTTCTGTTGTGCTGTAGTTGTTTAATGGTATTTCAAGTTGGTCGTCGTTGTAACTGTTGTTGCTGTTATCTGTTGTTGAAATGCTATAGTCAGCAGTCTGTTTCTTCATTTAATGATGGTTTGTTTCCAAGTTTTTTTTTTTTTGTTTTCTGATTTTGTTTTGCTTTTATTATACCATTCTATGGTCTCTTTAATGATACTTCAACATTTTTTTTTAATGCTTCAAAAAGTTCTGATTTCTTTTTTTTTTTTCTTCTTGTTTTTTCTTTTTTTTTTTTTATTCTGTCGATATTTTTACTGGTGTTGTTGTTGTTGTTGTTGCTGCTGTTACTGCTGCTGCTGCTGCTCCGGCTCCTGTTATATTTTTTTTAAATTTCCTATTAACAATTTTGTTGGTAACTAACTTTGTTTGAATTAAAAGAAAAAAAAAATGTTTTTTTGTCTAAAATTTAAATTTATTTTTGAACAGGTTAAACAAAAGAACAGAAGAAAATGAAAAGAAAAAAAAGGATTGAAAAGAGAAAACAGAAGACAAAGTAACAAAATTATTGAACGATTAATAAATGAAGTCAACATTGGTCTCTTCTTTTGAACTTTATATAACTGTTAGTTTTGTGGGGGTGAAAAATAGATAAAAAAAATTTTTTTTGTCATTTATTTCTTTTTTTTTTTTTTTTTTTTTTGACTAAACATAAGGTTGAAAGGAATGAAAGGTTTATTTATGTTATTTCAACAATTTTAAAGCCGAGTAATAAAGAAAAGGTGATTTCTTTTTTTTTTTTTGTCTGCCATCTCTATGATTAATCACCTAAAAAATTTGTTTTGATGCCGATTACATAGGGTTTTTTTTTTGCTTTGAAAAACTGTGAAGAAACAAATGAAAATGGCAAAGAATAATTTGTTGAGACAGCAATAACAGACTAAGAAACTTTTCAACTGTTTTCTCTGTATCCATCGACAAACACGGGTAAGAAGGTATTTTTTTTTTTTTATAGTTAAATTATTATTTTGATGACTATTGTTGTTGTCGTTGATGTTTCTGTTGTTGCTGTTTCTGTTTCTGGTGCTGTAGCTGAAGCTGTTGTTGAACTGAAGAAGGCACGGTTTATGGAAGACAAAAAAAAAAAAAAAGATGAAATTGAAACTGTTGAGCAGTAATATCAGTTTGTTAGTTGATTTTTTTTGACTAATCAAATAGATCAAATGTTCACATCTCTATTTTTATGTTTACAATAAAGTGAAAAAAAAAAAAAAAAAAAGACTAATCATCACTTTTTTTTTCTTTTTTTTTTTCAAAATTGTTGGTCAAACCAATATTGATTGAGTTGATGTGAAAAATTACAGGCATTTGTAAGAGGAATGTATAGGATTGGGGCAAAAATTTTCTATCAACAATAATCTTGCACCGTACTGTTTTCTGTTAGTAAATTCTGTAGTGTTATTAAGCAATAATAATACTGTTGTTGGATATACAGTTGTATAGAGAAATCAATGTAGCATATTTTTGCAATTGATGAATAAATTTTGAAGTTGGAGATGGATGAAGAAAGAATAAATGTTGAGTTGCAAAAAAAAAAAAAGTTTTGCGAAGAAGGGTTTGTAGGAAACAGCCTTAACAAAAAGGCTATTATCAAGAAGACTTCAGTCAGAAAAAAACTGCTCTGATCCATCAGTTAGAGGAGCAGCGGCGGCGGCGGCGGCAGCAGCAGCAGTAAAACCAATAGAACGATATTATAAAGCGTCACAAATGACGATGTTATATTCCCCGTTGATCGTTGTGATATCAAATAAATGACAGTTTACATTGTTAACGATGTGATTTGAGGCGCTTCGTTCTTCGTTTTTTTTTTTTTTTTTTCCTCTTTTTTTTTTCCTGTTGTTGCACAAAGGAAAAAATTATTTGTACAGCAAAGAAAAGAAATGAATGCCATTAAAATGATGCAGTCTCTTCTTTTTTTTTTTTTAAAAAATATTTTCAATTTTTTGGTTAAAAAATTGTTCAAAAATTTGTTGGTAAAAAATTCAGTTGTATATTTGTTAAGTGTTGTTTAAAAAGTATAAATAGAAGAAAAAGCAACATATTTGTTTTATTGTTGGTTTTTTTTTGTTTTTAACCTTTACTAATTACTGTTTAATTATTTGACAAACTAATATATATTTATTATCTTCG